ACACACACACACACACACACACACACACACACACACACACTTAATGTAACTGATCCTAATGGGACAGAACTGAGACATTGCCTGTCGCTCACAAAATTGAATGGCGATCATAAGCTAGACAAACGCCTCCTGCAGAACGCACAGTGAAAGTGAACGGTTAGTGAAAGCAACTTCGCTGTTGCACATCACTCACCGTTGAAAAATGCCTAATATTTGTAACTTTCCTATTTTACGAAATTCATTAGTTTATATTTAGGATACTGTTTGTTATCTGAGTTCCATCGTACGATGGGCAGAGATTCAATCGAATGAAACGAACTCATGAAATGGAAGATAATTTTCATCAGGATGGCAGAAGCCGCACTCTATTTCCCCACTCAAACTACTAGGGCGAATGTTCGGTGAACGAACCCATTCTAGCAAGCAATTCCTTAAATCTCAAGCAGACATTACTAATTCGAGTTCAACTGAACACTGGGCCGTCCGTTCAACTAAGTCAAAATATATCACCAAGTGTTGTGTTGTCACTTGATGCTTTTGTGTTCATTCTGGTCATGTGTTCAGTAGTTAGCTCAAAGAGCGGACAGGAGAACCGAAAATGTTTCATTACTTGACTTAGAAAGCCAAAACAAACCCGTAAGCTGGAAGCGTCGATCAGTCATTGTTTCAATGTAAATACGGTTGCCTTTCAGTGCAGAAAGAAACAATTTGTGCTAATCTACCGAAAAAGAGTAACGATTCATGTGAAATGGTCAACCTCAATCCGTATTCACCCGGTAAGCGATGGAAACTCGAAAAGCTCGCTTCAAATGAACAAGGATTTTGTGGTACACTTGATAGCACCGAATACTCGGAAGGGACAAATGGATGCACTTTCATGCACTCCAAATCATCAGTTTGAAAAGTGCTAGTGGCCTTTTCGATTCACCGAATGCGTCATCCACAATGACTCAGCGATTTGCACTTGTCTCGACTGCTCCATTCACACTATAGACTTTGGTTTTTCAAACCGAATTGAGTCATGGGGTGGTGGTGTTGGTGCTGGTTGTTCTCAGGATGAAGATGGGTGGGGGAGTGGAAACCGGCCAGTTGATCATGTTGATCGGGTCAAATCCTTATCAAGATTATCGATTACCCCGATGTCCGTTGAATCAGTTACGCAAAGAATCTGAACTTTGGTAAGACCTTGGGTATTTTAGTGTGACCTTAGAGGAATATGTTCAGAATATAAGAGAATATGATAAGCCAACGCTCTCCACGTGACTTATCTTACCATTTCAGTTGTAGTTTTGCTAATAAGTTCAAATCCCCAAGTTGGTAAGTATTCAATGTCATTTTACTCGAAAGATGAAAATTCGGGGTTTGAGCGACAACCTGACGTTTAGTTAACTATCTAACGGAAAAGAGCTAACGAATTAAAAAGCATCATTTCTCACAATCTGTGAAAGAAAAAAAAAGAAATTGAACGGCTTTGCAGAATGCATCCTTTGGGTTGTTAGTATTTTTAGGTAACAACTATGGTAATTGCGTACGAGTACAAGTAATCCGCACAGTACAGTAAAAGTCCTTTGAGAAGTAGATATGCATGGTGATTCAAAGCCGATATTCAAGGCATTTTTTCTTTCTAATTCGACCTCGTGTCCATCCTATGAGGGGGCCTTATGTGGTTCTCCACTTCATATTCCAGTTCTATGATGGC